ATCACATTTGGACCGTTGCCGGAGCTACAGAGTTTGTGCACTGCGGTGATAGATCTAGTGGAAAAGGACGCGAACCGCAGTGTTAATGAAAGCAGTCGATTGCAGGTTCACCGTCTGTAAAATCCTGCGAAACGTTCTCGTTGTTCGTCCACTTCTGAACTTTAGTCTCGCTCTAAAACTTGACTAGTTTTTATTGCACATCCGTTTTACAGATCTGGCTTATTTGTATGCATACTCTTGGTTCCTCGCCTCTCGGGCAGATGCACGCTTACTTAGTCGACTTTCACTACATCCTTGTTAGGGGGTAGGGGGGGGGGGGGTATATCATAGCCCCCACCCCACCACCAGAACGCACACTCGTAACCGCAACAAGCAAGTGATTTCTGACAAAACATTTCTGCTATAATCAACCATTGTAGCCACAGCAGTGTAGCCACAGCACTATAGCCACAGCAGCTACAGCAGTCAACCAGCAACCAGCGTGGCGAAAGTTCTAGAGGAACACAGACCAGCACACACAGATAAACAAATGCCTATGATTATTTCAGGAATGTGAACCAGTAAACATCCACAGCATTCCGCAAAACAGCTGGCCACGAGAAAACAATCCGCCGGAAACAGACAAACTACGGACGCAAATCTGCGAGCTGACGGAAGAGAGAACTCAACTCACCAGATGGAAGGCAACCAGTGGCTGGAGACTCACAGGGGAGGAGAAGGAGGAGGAGACGAGAGGGAGAGAGGCAGAGAGAGAGAGAGAGAGAGAGAGAGACAGAGAGAGAGAGAGACAGAGAGAGAGAGAGACGGGTACGGAGAACATCTCCCCGAGACATGAGAGAGGACGGCTGGCCCCTTTCTCTGGCTCCGTCTGACTCAAGGAGCTCGACGATTATTGTAAGCACAAGGTGCTCGAGTTGACGTGTTTGGGGGGAAATCAATGTCTGGCACTTGATCAATATCCCCCTACTACTGCTCTGTTTCGCCAGACGCGGTCCCATATATACACACATAAATATGTCTGTGTATATCTATGAATCTGTGTGTTTATATATTTTTAATTTATACACACACACACACTCAAACAGACAGACCCACACACACACACACACTCACACACAGACAGAGAGAGACACAGAGAGAGAGAGAGAGAAAGAGAGAGAGAAAGAGAGAGAGACAGAGAGAGAAAAAGAGAGAGAGAAAGAGAGAGAGAGAGAGAGAGAGAGAGACAGTGAGAGAGTGAGACAGAGAGAGAGACAGAGAGAGAGACAGAGAGAGAGAAAAAAAAGAGAGAGAGATACAGAGAGAGAGAAAGAGAGAGACAGTGAGAGAGAGAGAGAGACAGAGAGAGAGACAGAGAGAGAGACAGAGAGAGAGACAGAGAGAGAGAGAGACAGAGAGAGAGACAGAGAGAGTGAGAGAGAGACAGAGAGAGAGACAGAGAGAGACAGAGAGAGACAGAGAGAGACAGAGAGAAAGACAGAGAGAGACAGAGAGAGAGAGAGAGAGAGAGAGAGAGAGAGGACAGAGAGAGAGAGAGACAGAGAGAAAGAGAGACAGAGGTCAGCTCAGACTGATTTCGAGACACTCCATGTTGACATTGCCTAGCAACCTGCAGACGCTATCTCTGTCACATAATGTCCATATTCTTCAGCAAAAGGCGTAAATTTGCGCAAGGCCCCGCCCCCACTCTCTCTATCTATCTATATATCTCCCTCTCTCTCTCCCTCACACACACATTTAAAAAAAAAGTTTATATTTAATTGTCGGGAGGGGGTGGGGGGTGTTGGATGGATACTCAAGGTGCACGCGCCCTCGGGTGCCAGCAATTCTCTGTCTACAGTCCCTGTGATTTGGCTGGCGCACCTTTTTCTCCACAACCTACCGTCTCAAGTGCTGTCAGTCATGTCCGATACAAGGTCGCTTCCTACACCGACCTGATGTCTCTCGCATCAATCTGCCAGCATTTTCACTGCCAGGCAAACTGGCTTCTACAAACCTACAAGATTTCTAACACGGATGGCACGCTGCTTCTCTTACATCTGCTAATATATCGGAACACAACAGCAGACAACCAGGAAAGCATCGTGTGACCAAATGTGGAGGAAAATTGTCAAGCACATGAAGGGGGAAGAGAAATGGAGTGATGGAGAATGTTGAAAAGGGTAAATACAGATGCATCAATAACATGCCAAGTCAATTCTTAGATAATGCGGTTAACCTTTGTGAAATATAGTAATGGCAGGTGGCCTCGATTTAATGTGTATTTTTTTTTTTTTTTTAGTGACAAGAAGATCAGGCCTTAAAATAAGTACAAGAAAACTTCACACAAACTAAAGGTGGCTGGTGACAAACTAGGTGCCAAATGATCTAAAATATATATAAATACGAAATATGAAGGTAAAACAGGCAGACTGAGAAACAACCAATAGTAGAAGAGAGATGGTTTCTGTGATACTGAGAAACAACCAATAGTAGAAGAGAGATGGTTTCTGTGATACTGAGAAACATGACCAACAGTAGAAGAGAGATGGTTTCTGTGATACTGAGAAACATGACCAACAGTAGAAGAGAGATGGTTTCTGTGATACTGAGAAACAACCAATAGTAGAAGAGAGATGGTTTCTGATACTGAGAAACAACCAATAGTAGAAGAGAGATGGTTTCTGTGATACTGAGAAACATGACCAACTTAAGGAGAAACTAGAGGTGGCAGTTCAGTTGTTTAAGGAAACACCTTGTGAGGAGAAATAATAGTCATACAAAGAACACACATCTGATCTGAAATTCTGGTGATCACCATCACCTGCTAGGCTTAGTGGCACAGCAAACGGGATGATGGTGATGATGAGCAAGCACTAGATGTGGAGGTGTCAAGCACTATATGTGGAGGTGTCAAGCACTATATGTGGAGGTGTCAAGCACTATATGTGGAGGTGTCAAGCACTATATGTGGAGGTGTCAAGCACTATATGTGGAGGTGTCAAGCACTATATGTGGAGGTGTCAAGTACTATATGTGGAGGTGTTGAGCACTATGTGTGTAGGTGTCAAGCACTATATGTGGAGGTGTTGAGCACTGTGTGTGGAGGTGTTGAGCACTGTGTGCGGAGGTGTTGAGCACTGTATGTGGAGGTGCTGAGTACTATATGTGGAGGTGTTGAGCACTATATGTGGAGGTGTTGAGCACTGTGTGCGGAGGTGTTGAGCACTGTATGTGGAGGTGTTGAGCACTGTATGTGGAGGTGTTGAGCACTGTATGTGGAGGTGTTGAGCACTGTATGCGGAGGTGTTGAGCACTATATGTGGAGGTGCTGAGTACTGTATGTGGAGGTGTTGAGCACTGTATGTGGAGGTGTTGAGCACTATATGTGGAGGTGTTGAGTACTGTATGTGGAGGTGCTGAGCACTATATGTGGAGGTGTTGAGCACTGTATGTGGAGGTGTTGAGCACTGTATGTGGAGGTGTTGAGCACTATATGTGGAGGTGCTGAGCACTATATGTGGAGGTGTTGAGCACTATATGTGGAGGTGTTGAGCACTGTATGTGGAGGTGTTGAGCACTATATGTGGAGGCATTAAGTGCTGTATGTGGAGGTGCTGAGCACTATATGTGGAGGCATTGAGTGCTGTATGTGGAGGTGCTGAGCACTATATGTGGAGGCATTGAGTGATGTATGTGGAGGTGCTGAGCACTATATGTGGAGGCATTGAGTGCTGTATGTGGAGGTGCTGAGCACTATATGTGGAGGCATTGAGTGCTGTATGTGGAGGTGTCGAGCACTGTATGTGGAGGTGTCGAGCACCTGCCAGAAAACAATCCAGCCACTGGTGGACAGGGAACACTCTTCATAGCCAAACATATTATCCACTAGGCCACTGTGGCCAGACATGGCAGCATACAGCGTGTACAAGATATGAGGGGACACACAAGACAGCTCCGTTTTTGCACATGTCAACTTGTTCATGAAAACACAGACAGCAGACAACTCTCACATCCTAACCATCAACTGGAACTGATCTAATTTTATTGTTTACGTAGATGTCTGTCTGTGCGTAGATGTCTGTCTGTGCGTAGATGTCTGTCTGTGCGTTGATGTCTGTCTGTGCGTTGATGTCTGTCTGTGCGTTGATGTCTGTCTGTGCGTTGATGTCTGTCTGTGCGTTGATGTCTGTCTGTGCGGTAATGTCAACACCAGATACAAACAACACCCAGATCAACACTGTAATGTGAGCAATGGTGATGCGTCAGACATGTCTTTTCCCTTACTGTGAGCAGTTATGTGGAGGTGCTGAGTTTGTATAACCAAGATTGACACCCCAGTGAATATGTATGTGGAGGTGTACCAAAACATATGTCCAACCTGCTAAGAGACAGACATGTTTTATTGGAGGTGCCCCTACTGTAGTTTGGAGTGTATATGTATGTGTGTGCTGATATGTGTTTCTGTGCCCCTGGCAAACAGATGCTTGTCTGAACTCATGTGGAGGTTTCCAGACTATATGTGAATTGTGAACTTTATGTATGTGGAGTTCTCTGAGTACTGTATGTGGAGGCAACAATTGTTACTTTATGTGGAGGTGTCTGAGCACTATATGTGGAGGTGTTGAGTACTATTCGGAGGGTTAACATTTATGCTGGAGGTGTAGTACTGTATCGTTCTCTATGTGATATTTGTTACTATGTTGCAGCACTGTATGTCTGTGTGAACACTATATGTGGATATTAATTTACTGTGTTGTAGGTTGCTGTTACTGTATGTGGACAATTGAGTACTTGTTCATAACTACGTATGTGGAGGTGAGTCCAACTTTATGTGGAGCGTGAACAGCACGTTGTGTCTCTATGCTGTACGTGGATTGTTCTTAACACCGTGCTCAGTGTAACATTGTCCAGCCACTTTTGGACCTTTTCTCTATAGAAACAACATATTATCTATAGGAACTGTGACCAGACCATGGCAGCATAACAGTATTGTGGTACAACCTTTTGTAACCTGGACTATGGAACAAACTGTTACTAATTCCCCCCCCCCCCGTTTTTGCCACTATGTAACTATTGTTCATAAAAATTCCCCCCCCCCCCCCCCCCCCCCCCCATCCAAAAAAATCAATCTGAAACTGAAAGAGTTAGCACATCTACAAGACAGAATAGCACTTCCCTCAGACCCCGTTGTCGTGAGTTCAAATCTTCAACCAAGCAGATTGATGAACAATCTACTTGAGAAGCCAGACATCTTAAAAAAAAATATGAGTTCAAGTTCAGAGATTGTTTGAAGAGTGTCTTTGGTATTTTAGAGCTTGGAGACAGGTGGCAGCGGTATGAGAGTTCCTCTAGCCTTTGTCAGCTCTGCCTTCTCATTTCAATGGATCCATAGTAGGCTGGACTAGTTCATTTCTTACTGGGAGCATTCCGATGTCTTTTTTTGTTTGTAAATAGTTGATGTCCAGTTTAAAGCTTGAGGGCTTGGATAAGTGTTCTCAGGGATGTGAATCTGAAAGCTTTTGATTGAGTGAAACTGGGGCATTTGGAGTCTGCTGAGTTCAGTGAGATACTTGCCATGCATCCAAATCCTCAGAGTACACAAAATAACTTTCTGCACTATTATCACTCCAGCAACACGCCAAAGATCAGCTGATCGACTCACCTGACATCGGAACCTTGCAGCGAGGAACGTCTCAAGATGGCTCTGGCTTGTGCGTTGGTGATTCTCTTGAGGCTTTCACTGTTCAAGGACACGATATAGTCTCCGGGCTGAATGCGGCCATCTTGTTCAACAGCACTAGGCTTGGCTATGCTCTTGACAATACAGCCTCGGGAAGCTTTGTCGACAGCCTCTAGACTCAGCCCTGCAGAAAGAAACATTTAATGATGTATTCACAATTCCAATAGTTACTGATACCTAACATATGTGGAGGGACAAAAGCTAGGAGAAAAGATAAACACATACATGACTTGGCTACAGGTGGCAGGTACACAGACTTGATCATGTGAGAATGTCAGCCCTGACAGCCTAGGCCTGATGGTGAGTCACATGATGATGCTAGTGTTTCAATATATATTTACCAGGTGAGATTTCTCTCAGGTCAGCGAGGCTCAAAGCCTAACTGTTACAAACTCCTGGTTAGAAAAGGACGCTGCTGTGCCTTTCACCGAGTCCAAAACCCACTTGGTGCACGGTTTGTCTCAAAGATCTTTCAGACAAAATTAAATCTGGTGCAATGAAGTCGATCCTCCTGCTTTAAATGACTGTGTTGTATATGGAGTCTGATCTCAGTATCCTGTGTTGTATATGGAGTCTGATCTCAGTATCCTGTGTTGTATATGGAGTCTGCCTTCTCAGTATCAATGGGTTGTATAGGAGTCTGATCTCTAGTATCCTGTGTTGTATATGGCATTCTGATCTCAGTATCCTGTGTTGTATATGGGGTCTGATCTCAGTATCCTGTGTTGTATATGGAGTCTGATCTCAGTATCCTGTGTTGTATATGGAGTCTGATCTCAGTATCCTGTGTTGTATATGGAGTCTGATCTCAGTATCCTGTGTTGTATATGGAGTCTGATCTCAGTATCCTGTGTTGTATATGGAGTCTGATCTCAGTATCCTGGGTTGTATATGGAGTCTGATCTCAGTATCCTGTGTTGTATATGGGGTCTGATCTCAGTATCCTGTGTTGTATATGGAGTCTGATCTCAGTATCCTGTGTTGTATATGGGGTCTGATCTCAGTATCCTGTGTTGTATATGGAGTCCTGATCTCAGTATCCTGTGTTGTATATGGAGTCTGATCTCAGTATATCCTGTGTTTGTATATGGAGTCCTGATCTCAGTATCCTGTGTTGTATATGGAGTCTGATCTCAGTATCCTGTGACAAAATATGGGGTCTGATCTCAGTATCCTGTGTTGTATATGGAGTCTGATCTCAGTATCCTGTGTTGTATATGGAGTCTGATCTCAGTATCCTGTGTTGTATATGGAGTCTGATCTCAGTATCCTGTGTTGTATATGGGGTCTGGTCTCAGTATCCTGTGTTGTATATGGAGTCTGATCTCAGTATCCTGTGTTGTATATGGGGTCTGGTCTCAGTATCCTGTGTTGTATATGGAGTCTGATCTCAGTATCCTGTGTTGTATATGGGGTCTGGTCTCAGTATCCTGTGTTGTAAATGGGGTCTGATCCCAGTATCATGGGTTGTATATGGGGTCTGACTACACCATTTGGATTGTACATGGGGTCTGATCTCAGTATCATGGGTTGTATATGGGGTCTGACTACACCATTTGGATTGTGCATGGGGTCTGATCCCACCATCATGGACTTCACATAGGGTCTCACCCAACCGTCCTACTTTTCAATGACTCAAACAGCAAACTCAGACAAACTCAGACAGACGCTTACCAAGATGCAAGTTTGCCTTCTGGATGTGAATGGTGCGCTCTAGGCTGGGACTGCAGACGGGAGAGGTCAGGGTGGAGTGTCCCCGACTGAGAGGGGAGGTGGGAGGGGTCTTAAGGTCACTTGAGGTCATGTGTTCCGAGGATGAGCTGCTGGTTTTCCGATGAATGATGGCTTGTTTTCCATGGAGCTAGAGGCAGGACACAAATAGAGACAAATTAGTGTGTGTGATGGATGGATGGATGGATAGATGGATGGATAGATGAATGGATGGATAGATGAATGGATGGGTGGATGATGGCCTGTCTTCCATGGAGCTAGTCAGGGCACAAGACAGAGAAAGAATTATTGTATGATAGGTGAATGATAGATGGATGATAGATGGATGATAGATGGATGGATGGATAGATAGATGGATTGATAGATTAATGGATGGATAGATGGATGATAGATGGATGGATGGATGAATTGATGGATAGATGGATGGGTGGATGATGGCTTGCCTTCCATGGAGCTAGAGTCATGGTACAAGACAGAGAGACAGAATTAGTGGATGATAGGTGAATGGATGGATAGATAGATCAATGGACATTTGGATGGGTGGAAAGATGGATGAATGAACGGATAAATGGAGGGATGGATGAATGTAGGGATGGATGGGTAAATGATGGCTTGTCTTCCATGGAGCTGGAGTCTGGACACAAGACAGAGATTGAATTAGTGGAAGATAGGTGGATGATATGTGGAGGGATGGATGGAGGGGTGGGTGGGTGGGTGGGTGGAGGGATGGATGGGTGGGTGGAGGGATGGATGGGTGGGTGGATGGATGGATGGATAGGCAAGTGGGTGAATGATACCCCACATTGTCTTCTTTGTAGCTAGAGTCAGGACATGTGTTAGAAATGGGATTATGGATGACAGGCAGATGGGTTGATGGATAGGTGGGTGGGTGAATGATGGAACTAAAGTCAGGACATGCGCTAGAAAAGGGATTAGTGGATGACAGATGGATGGGTGGATAAATGATGCCTTGTCTCTATGGAGCTAGAGACAGGACACAAGATAGAAATCAGTGGATGATAGATGGATGGTTGGTTGGTTGGATGGATGGTTGGATTGGATGGTTGGATGGTTGGATGGATGGATGGTGGATGGAATGATAGGCGAGTGAAGGGGTCATTTGTATTTGAAAGAAAATGGTAACAATTAGGTGAAATGTGAATGGCCACAGACGGAACAGTCACAGTTATCAATAACAGGCCTAGACTAAAGAGACATTCAGTGAAATGTCAGTGGTGACAGATGGAACAGTTCCAGTTATCAATAATAAGTCTAGACTGATGATACCTTCAGTGAAATGTGAATGGCGATAGACGGCACAGTGACAATTATCGAAAACATGCTCTTTTTTTAAATCTTTTTTGCTTACATAAAACAGTGGAGTTCAGTTTTAGTGATACAGCCTCAGCCAATTTTAGCAAATGTCTTTAGAATATGTATACAGTGAAACATGCCAGACAATAAACTGTGTAACGTTTTGTTTGTGTCCACATTATTTACATTTAAAACTAGAAAACACGTTTCAAATGATATTCAAATTAAAACACAATCCCATGGAAAAGTTACCAAAAAAAAAAAAAAAAAACAGGAAATAATAATTAGGCCAGACAATTAAAACCTTGGGTAAAACACACAAACAAACTGAACATAGTTGAAATTGTTAAATACAAAACTGAAACAACATTAACCCATCAAATACATAATTGTATTTGTTTTCTGAAAGCATGGAAAGCAGTGGAAAACAGAATGTCACAACAGCAAACAGATAATATATTAGAAAAAAAGATACCAACAGAGGTTAGAACTGTCACAGTGATCAGAAGCATGCAAAACACACAATAAAACAATAACAGCAGTGGGAAAAAATAAAATAAAAGTATGCACTGCAAACACAGAAGCAAACACAGAAGCAAACACAAGCACAGCATAAGGTCCATTGAAAGTAGGATATTTTGTGACGTGGGAGCTCAGGTACACAAATATTAGGCAGGATATGTTGTGACACAGGTGCTCACATACACAACCATTAAGTAGGAAATGTTGTGACGTAGCAACTCACATTCACAACCTTAATGCAGGAAATGTGACACAGGTGCTCACATACACAACCATTAAGTAGGAAATGTTGTGACGTAGCAACTCACATTCATAACCTTAATGCAGGAAATGTGACACAGGTGCTCACATACACAACCATTAAGTAGGGAATGTTGTAGGTAGCCTAGTTAGCTCACATTCACAACCATTAATAAAGAAGGAAATGCTCATGACATAGGTGCTCACATACACAACCATTAAGTAGGGAATGTTGTAGGTAGATGCTCATGTACACAACCATTAAGTAGGGAATGTTGTAGGTAGATGCTCATGTACATAACCATTAAGTAGGGAATGTTGTAGGTAGATGCTCATGTACATAACCATTAAGTAGGGAATGTTGTAGGTAGATGCTCATGTACATAACCATTAAGTAGGGAATGTTGTAGGTAGATGCTCATGTACACAACCATTAAGTAGGGAATGTTGTAGGTAGATGCTCATGTACACAACCATTAAGTAGGGAATGTTGTAGGTAGATGCTCATGTACATAACCATTAAGTAGGGAATGTTGTAGGTAGATGCTCATGTACATAACCATTAAGTAGGGAATGTTGTAGGTAGATGCTCATGTACATAACCATTAAGTAGGGAATGTTGTAGGTAGATGCTCATGTACAACAACCATTAAGTAGGGAATGTTGTAGGTAGATGCTCATGTACACAACCATTAAGTAGGGAATGTTGTAGGTAGATGCTCATGTACACAACCATTAAGTAGGGAATGTTGTAGGTAGATGCTCATGTACACAACCATTAAGTAGGGAATGTTGTAGGTAGATGCTCACGTACACAACCATTAAGTAGGGAATGTTGTAGGTAGATGCTCATGTACATAACCATTAAGTAGGGAATGTTGTAGGTAGATGCTCATGTACATAACCATTAAGTAGGGAATGTTGTAGGTAGATGCTCATGTACATAACCATTAAGTAGGGAATGTTGTAGGTAGATGCTCATGTACACAACCATTAAGTAGGGAATGTTGTAGGTAGATGCTCATGTACACAACCATTAAGTAGGGAATGTTGTAGGTAGATGCTCATGTACATAACCATTAAGTAGGGAATGTTGTAGGTAGATGCTCATGTACACAACCATTAAGTAGGGAATGTTGTAGGTAGATGCTCATGTACACAACCATTAAGTAGGGAATGTTGTAGGTAGATGCTCATGTACATAACCATTAAGTAGGGAATGTTGTAGGTAGATGCTCATGTACACAACCATTAAGTAGGGAATGTTGTAGGTAGATGCTCATGTACACAACCATTAAGTAGGGAATGTTGTAGGTAGATGCTCATGTACACAACCATTAAGTAGGGAATGTTGTAGGTAGATGCTCATGTACACAACCATTAAGTAGGGAATGTTGTAGGTAGATGCTCATGTACACAACCATTAAGTAGGGAATGTTGTAGGTAGATGCTCATGTACACAACCATTAACATTTACAGCAGATGCAGAAAAGGCGGTAAGAAAATGTGGCAGCTTACCTTGAACTCCCCGTCGCCCCACTTGGGGGAACTTGGCGGGGGCCTCAGGGGTGGCGTTACAGGGGAGGCAAGAGGCGAAGAAGCTGGGGGAGGGGAGGTGACTGGCAGTGCAGGCGGGGCTTCCTGAAATAGACAGTGTTGATATCCAGCGGGTGTCAGTGGTTGTATCCAGTGGGTGGTCAGTATTTGTGTCCACTGGGTGTCAGTGGTTGTGTCCAGTGGGTGGTCAGTGGTTGTGTCTAGTGGGTGGTCAGTGGTTGTGTATAGTGGGTGGTCAGTGGTTGTGTCCAGTGGGTGTCAGTGGTTGTGTCCAGTGGGTGTCAGTGGTTGTGTCCAGTGGGTGGTCAGTATTTGTGTCCAGTGGGTGTCAGTAGTTGTGTCCAGTGGGTAGTCAGTATTTGTGTCCAGTGAGTGTCAGTGGTTGTGTCCAGTGAGTGTCAGTGGTTGTGTCCAGTTGGTGGTCAGTGGTTGTGTCTAGTGGGTGGTCAGTATTTGAGTCCAGTGGGTGTCAGTGGTTGTGTCCAGTGGGTGGTCAGTATGTGTCCAGTAGGTGTCAGTGGTTGTGTCCAGTGGGTGGTCAGTATGTGTCCAGTGGGTGTCAGTAGTTGTGCCCAGTAGGTAGTCAGTATTTGTGTCCAGTGAGTGTCAGTGGTTGTGTCCAGTTGGTGGTCAGTGGTTGTGTCCAGTGGGTGGTCAGTATTTGAGTCCAGTGGGTGTCAGTGGTTGTGTCCACTGGGTGGTCAGTGGTTGTGTCTAGTGGTAGGTCAGTGGTTTTGTCCAGTGGGTGGTCAGTATTTGTGTCCAGTGGATGGTCAGTATTTGTGCCCAGTGGGTGGTCAGTGGTTGTGTCCAGTGGGTGGTCAGTATTTGTGTCCAGGGGGAGGTCAGCAGTTGTGTCCAGTGGGTGGTCAGTGGTTGCGTCCAGTGGGTGGTCAGTGGTTGCGTCCAGTGGGTGGTCAGTATTTGTGTCCAGTGGGTGGTCAGTATTTGTGTCCAGGGGGAGGTCAGTGGTTGTGTCCAGTGGGTGGTCAGTATTTGTGTCCAGGGGGAGGTCAGTGGTTGTGTCCAGTGGGTGGTCAGTATTTGTGTCCAGGGGGAGGTCAGTGGTTGTGTCCAGTGGGTGGTCAGTATTTGTGTCCAGGGGGGAGGTCAGTGGTTGTGTCCAGTGGGTGGTCAGTATTTGTGTCCAGGGGGGAGTGGTTGTGTCAGTGGTGGTGTATTTGTCCAGTGGGTGGTCAGTATTTGTGTCCAGGGGGAGGTCAGTGGTTGTGTCCAGTGGGTGGTCAGTATTTGTGTCCAGGGGGAGGTCAGTGGTTGTGTCCAGTGGGTGGTCAGTATTTGTGTCCAGGGGGAGGTCAGTTGTTGTGTCCAGTGGGTGGTCAGTGGTTGTGTCCAGTAGGTGGTCAGTATTTGTGTCCAGGGGGGAGGTCAGTGGTTGTGTCCAGTGGGTGGTCAGTATTTGTGTCCAGGGGGAGGTCAGTGGTTGTGTCCAGTGGGTGGTCAGTATTTGTGTCCAGGGGAGGTCAGTGGTTGTGTCAAGTGGGTGGTCAGTATTTGTGTCCAGTGGGTGGTCAGTGGTTGTGTCCAGTGGGTGGTCAGTATTTGTGTCCAGTGGGTGGTCAGCAGTTGTGTCCAGTGAGTGGTCAGTATTTGTGTCCAGGGGGAGGTCAGTGTTGAATTCGGGAATGATGCATGCGGTACAGATTAGAGGTGGAGGAAAGAAAATCATTAGTACAACGGAAACCAAAGAAAGCGCCTCCTCATCTTTCGCACTGTCAAGGAAATTGAGAATTTTCCTGACCAGAGATCTATCTATTTCCAGGTAATGTCGACTTGGTCAGATACGACTGTTGGAATATGTACTGTGAAAGATCTATGATAAACAGGTCATGGATTCTGTAAATGGATACTAGGGCATGGCGTTGGTTGTCATCGTGACATACACTGCAAGGGTATGTGTCAAGCAACATTATTATACAGCAGATGCAGGCAACACTAACACAACACATACTTTGTGCTGACACTTTCCGCCACAGAGGGCCATATGTTAAACTCACTCCATAATTACCCATTGTTACTTTAGGCTAACGGTGTCTGGGAGTGCATTTATAAACATGATGCGACAGAGGAGATTCAAATATAAACATTATAGGACAGATGAGGTCTAAATATAAATATGATGGGACAAAGGAGGTTCAAATATAAACACGGCAGGAGAGAGATGGTTCAAATATAAACATGACAGAACAGAGCTAAATAATTTTTTTTTTAAAAAGACGATGGAACATAGCTGGTTGAAATATAAACATGACGGAACAAATCTGGTTAATGTGAGGAGAAGGGCCAGCAAGGAAAGGTAACAACTGGGTGCAGTACAAGCAGCTAGAAAATGACATCAGGTTACAGGTCGTCAATCAACATATAAAGACCACATGGAATGTGTTCCGTTTTAATTATTGAACACTAGCTGTACCGGTCATGGCCATGCACTGCTGTGGCTAAATCTTTCGAAATGGAACAGAAAGTGCACGTGTCTTATATGGGTAATATCACAATCGGTGTCTGGGCAGATGTGCAGATAGTCTGAATCTAGAACAGGTAACATATGTCTCTATTTTAGTGGTGGTTTAAATTGTATTATTATGACTTCAACAGATAGTTATTTGTGTAAAATATGCTGAAGTTTTCTTCCTAACAGCTGAAAGTAAAGCTGACTACTTCTACCAACAGACTCGGGAAACAAAAATAAGAATGGCAGAGGAAGCGTTGTTAAAATAGAAATAATAAAAAAAATGAGAACTTGAGAATCACGTGTTCACCCAGACTAAAACTTCTTCTGAGGTTGAGCGGGTTCTCTTAGATTGCTCTCTTGGTCTGCTATCACAAATGAGATTTTGTAATCTCTCAAACTTTAAGGCGCAAGCCTGGAGATGGGAAATTGCCCGCACGTCAAGACAAATGTGGTGTCATTTCATTTTAGGATTAAAGAAAATAAATAATATGTTTACCTGATGAAGGTAAGTAGAAATGGTAGCACTATGTGTAAAAATATTTAGATTTCCAAAATAAGGGTTTAACATGCTATTTTAACATAAATATAACAAAACACTGGCTGTTTCCTGCCTGCAGAAGTTAGCTGTTTCCTGCCTGCAGAAGTTAGCTGTTTCCTGCCTGCAGAAGTTAGCTGTTTCCTGGCCGCAGAGCCACAGTACAGACGAGCAAGCAGATTATGTAGCAGACGCCATCAGGTAGAAAGCACCATCGTGCAGTCAAGCACTGTGCCCAAACGCAACAGACAAACTAATATTGATGTGCAGAATGCAATCTTATGCGGTACACAGTCTACAACTACGTGCCAACAAGAAGACAACAAGAACTTGCAATATAACACACATACATTCAAATACAATTGGTTACAGTACTAACATACAGTTAACTAGAATTTGTTATAGTACTAACGTACAGTCAACTTTACTTTGTTATAGTACCAACATATAGTCAACTATAATTTTTTGTAGTACTAGCATAGTCAACTAGACTTTGTTATTGTACCAACATACAGTCAACTGCGGCGTCCGTGGCTAAGGCGTTGCGAGTCTGACTTGTAATTCCAACGGAACGCGATCAAAACCCACTGCTGGCTGAGTGGATTGTTTTCATGGTATGGGGTGTCACAGGTAGACCAAGGATGTATGTCCTGAGAAAGTAAAGTCGGCCGGCATAATGCTGACCACATTACCCACCTAGTGCCGATTGGTCTGTAAAAGTATGTCTGCTTTTTCCATATGACCGACGCGCCTAAGGCATAAAAAAATTATCTTTACTTACTTTACTTTATCCAGTCAACTAGACTTTTTTATAGTACCAACATAGTAAACTAGACTTTGTTATAATACTAACATACAGTCAACTAGACTTTGTTATAATACTAACATACAGTCAACTAGACTTTGTTATAATACTAACATACACAGCTCTGACATGCATCACCAACAAACAACATGTCATGACTGCACTGTAAGCATCCGTGAAGGTTCACACCAACAAACATGTCATGGCTGCACTGTAAGCATCCGTGAAGGTTCACACCAACAAACATGTCAAGGCTGCACTGTAAGCATCCGTGAAGGTTCACACCAACAAACATGTCATGGCTGCACTGTAAGCATCCGTGAAGGTTCACACCAACAAACATGTCATGGCTGCACTGTAAGCATCCGTGAAGGTTCACACCAACAAACAACATGTCATGGCTGCACTGTTAGCATCCGTGAAGGTTCACACCAACAAACAACATGTCATGGCTGCACTTTTAGCATCAGTGAAGGTTCACACCAACAAACAACATGTCATGGCTGCACTTTTAGCATCCGTGAAGGTCTGAACAAACATTCGGCAGATTAGTGAGACATGGTGTGTAAAATGTGGTTGTTGTAAAATGTGGTTGTAGAGGCAAATAGTGACAGCAGAATAGATAACAAAGATGATTTCAAAGAAATCGCTTGCAGCCGAAGAGGCTCTCCACATTGTTGGGCACATCAGAGGAAAGATAACTACTGGAGTTCGTGACAGCAGGAATGGTGAAGGCATTTGGAGGGGGAGGGGGGAGAGAGAGAGAGGATGTTGAAAAGTTCGGCCTCAGGGTATAGAAGAATGTATCAGAGATGAGACAGAAGGTTGTGAATCAGTTGCAAGAGCTACACAAAAACCCAGGGGCCACTGCTGGACATTGTGCCAAGTATGCATGGCACAACATGATGTCACACTGACTGTAGATGAACTTTTCGCCCATGAGATCCCACAAGTATGTAATGCATCATTATCATGTTTTTGCTATCTTGGGAAAGGCTGTCAAAACATCACATGTGTGCTGGTTTTGCAGATAAATTTTTCATCTTTTGAGTCTCTACCTCTCTCTCTCAGTCACGCATGCATGCATGCATGCATGCACGCAGATATACACACACAGACACACACACACACACATATGCTTCTAACTGTTCACAAATAGAATTTCTGTTTATCTGGCCAGGATTCCTGTAAGGTTATGTATTTGTTTTTGTACTCCCAGTTTCTCTGAACGACCCTGTCATACCTTCTCATCCTTTCATAACTTTTCATCCCCTTCATATCTCGTCACTACTTATTATGTTTGTGCAGTAACCTTTACCAAAATGTACTGAAACAGGAAATGATTTTTAAAGTGACATAAATAAACATGCTGTTAGATAAACATAATATTAGTGGTCTGTAACAACATAGCCTACACACTGACCAGACCAAGTGGTCTCTCGTGCAAGTTGATTTCATGCTTTGCCTTCATGTGTCCTTGGATTTAGACTATTCTTTTATATACTTTTAGTTAAGACTATTCTTTTATATTCTTTTAGTTAAAACTATTCTTTTAAATCCTTTTAGTTTAGACTATTCTTTTATATCCTTTTGATTTGTTCTTTTATAATCTGTATGATTGGTTTCAGTCCAAATCTTCTATTTTGTATTTCTTTACCAAACACCGCATACTAGTTTACCAAATGAATGATCAAGCTTTGCCTTTGTAAACGCACATCAGTTGCTTCATATAAGCATATCTTATTCTTCTTCTTGTTCACTGGTTGTAAACTTTGGTGAAAAGTTCTGATTCTCTGTTCCGCCTCTGAACATTAGTCTTGGTCCAGAACCTGAGTGTTGCATGCACATCCGTTTTACAGATCTTACTTATTTGACTGTTGGTTACTCGCCTATCAAACAGACGCACTCCTGCTTCGAAGGAATCCCCCAATTAGTCAACTCTCACAACACACTTGTTTGGGAAGCAGGAAGGTCTGTTCTTGTCTTCCCCACAACGAGGCACCGTAATCCCCAAGGGAAATGTAGGCATATTATAATTACGAAGTATTGGAGACAAATATATGGTTTGGAAAAACTGAGGGACATGATCAGATCACAGAAACAATTTTATGTCAACTGACTTCACGACTGGTATAAATTAGTATTGCCATTATTCTTTTTATCTGGACAAAAGAAAGTAATTATTTTGGCTAATCCGATTTTCTGGACGAGTGAAATGACCTATTTTGACAAATGCAATTACTATGACGACTTAAATGATGACTGGGACTCATCCGATTATCTGGACAAATTAAATGAATTATCCCAACTATCATGATTATATAGACGAACCATGCGGCCAAATGAACACTACTGTTAAGGTGCAGTTATACACTAAACTTACTGATTTGGCGACAATTGAAAAATTGGCACAATGGAAAAAAGGTGTGGCAACAGCAAGCAAGGGTGACAACAACGATGAAGATGGGTTACTGGTGTTACAAATTCCGAAGTCCCGCAGTTTACCTTGGCGTGGGCGAGCACCAGAAGGCTGGTCCTGGCATCCTTGGGTTTGGGGGGAATTGGGGGCGGGCCCCTCCTGGGTGGCTCCAGCGGGGGAACGGCTGCCTCACTGGTGTCAGGCCAGCCACGGATCATCTAACAATAAGCAATACTCATCACGAACAAGAATAACACAAACACCAGGGCAGACAGTATATCAGGAAAAAACCAAAAACACTAGGTACAATATCTGAAAGGGATATAAGCCAGTAACAATGAAAATTTCAAAAAAAAAAAAAAAGTGAAACTAAGTGAACAAGTCGTTTGTTTAAAAAAATACACGGTCATCAATCTGCAAGCCATTATATATATATATATATTTATATGCGAACCTTCAATTTGTGACCCAATTTTGGACTGATGCTTCAACCCATCCCACTCACTCACTTCTAATTAACATTTTAAATGCTGCTTGCTGGATAGCTGCTGTGGCTAGAGTGTTGTATTCCTGCTGCTCGCTGGATGACTGTTGTGCTAGAGTGTTGTATTCATGCTGCTCGCTGGATGACTGTTGTGGCTATAGTGTTGTATACATGTTGCTAGCTGGATGGCAGCTGTGGCTATAGTGTTGTATACATGTTGCTAGCTGGATGACTGTTGTGGCTAGAGTGTTGTATTCATGTTGCTAGCTTGATGACTGCTGTGGCTATAGTGTTGTATACATGTTGCTAGCTGGATGATTGCTGTGCTATAGTGTTGTATACATGTTGCTAGCTGGATGACTGTTGTGGCTAGAGTGTTGTATTCATGTTGCTAGCTGGATGATTGCTGTGCAATAGTGTTGTATACATGTTGCTAGCTGGATGGCAGCTGTGGCTATAGTGTTGTATACATGTTGCTAGCTGGATGGCAGCTGTGGCTATAGTGTTGTATACATGTTGCTAGCTGGATGATTGCTGTGCTATAGTATACATGTTGCTAGCTGGATGACTGCTGTGGCTATAGTGTTGTATACATGTTGCTGGTTGGGTGACTGTTGTGGCTATAGTGTTGTATACATGTTGCTAGTTGGATGACTGATGTGGCTATAGTGTTGTATACATGTTGCTAGTTGGATGACTGCTGTGGCTATAGTGTTGTATACATGTTGCTAGTTGGATGACTGTTGTGGCTATAGTGTTGTATTCATGCTGCTAGCTGGATGACTGTTGTGCTATAGTGTTGTATTCATGTTGCTAGCTTGATGATTGCTGTGGCTATAGTGTTGTATACATGGTGCTAGCTGGATGACTGTTGTGCTATAGTGTTGTATTCATGTTGCTAGCTTGATGATTGCTGTGGCTATAGTGTTGTATACATGGTGCTAGCTGGATGACTGTTGTGCTATAGTGTTGTATTCATGTTGCTAGCTTGATGATTGCTGTGGCTATAGTGTTGTATTCATGCTGCTAGCTGGATGACTGTTGTGCTATAGTGTTGTATTCATGTTGCTAGCTTGATGATTGCTGTGGCTATAGTGTTGTATACATGGTGCTAGCTGGATGGCTGTTGTGCTATAGTGTTGTATACATGGTGCTAGCTGGATGGCTGTTGTGGCTATAGTGTTGTAAACATGTAGCTAGTGATCGCATGTTTAAATATGCAAATGTCTGCATCCCTTGCATATACTCTAAATAGAGATTGTGTCTGGTAAAGCTGTGACGGTTATGTAGACAATTAGTCAACAAATAGAGGATGATTATATAGGTCGGTATTTAACTGTGCAGCTATCTGTGGTTCTTAAGACAACTATATAGTTGTTGTGTAGGTCATCAGATTACTGTATAATGTTGTGTAGGTCATCAGATTACTGTATAATGTTGTGTAGGTCATCAGATTACTGTATAATGTTGTGTAGGTCATCAGATTACTGTATAACGTTGTGTAGGTCATCAGATTACTGTATAATTTTGTGTAGGTCATCAGATTACTGTATAATGTTGTGTAGGTCTTCAGATTACTGTATAATTTTGTGTAGGTCATTATATAACTTAATAGTTGTTGTGTAGTTCATTAGATAACTGAATAGTTGTTCAGTAGGTCACAAGATAACTCAACAGTTGTTCTGTAGGTCATCATATAACTGAATAGTTGTTCAGTAGGTCACTAGATAACTGTACAGTTGTTGCATAAGTCACCAGATAATTTTATCATTGTTCTATTCCTGAGTAAATAACTGTAATGTTGCTTGGCAGATAAACAGATCACAAAAGATTGCTGCAGCCTTGGGTGGAACAAACAATTACCAAGAAAAAAAAAAGACATGCAACAAACATGCTTCTAAAGGAACACAGAATAAAGAAAATGGCAAAATCCAGAATGCTTCAAACAAAAGAGCAAAAACTTTAAAGTAATCAGGAACCAAGCAAAACTCAGCAAACATTTACTGAAAAAAAGGCCGGCATAGGTTCAACATTTGATGTAACATCAAAATAAAAAGATGTAAAAGCGCAGGTGAGGCGGGAGGGGAGGTGACTCAGGTGAATGACGTCCTCAAGACAACCAATGATATAAACAAGAGAGTGATCAGATAAATGCACAAACTGGTGAAGTGGCTGAGTTCACAGCTCTACAAGTGGGAGCAAATCAACTGGCCTGCGTTGGGAACTGAACAATGATGACGATGAGCTAAAAAAGTTGAGTTTTTTTCCACAAACTCTGTAAAACCATCAGCTATGTATTAGTACTTTATACTGATACTTCAAAACATGGTCATATATGTTCAATTTTCTAGTGAAAATCAAACACGACTTTTAAAAACTGATAAATACGCGGTGATTTCCCTGGCAAAGAAAAAAGTCAATTTATGGAACAATTGTTGAGTAAATACCTGATATGAGTTAATTTCTGCAGAGTCCAAACTGGCAGAAAGGTCAAGCTGGGATGGGTCTGCTGTCAAGTTGTGACCAGATACTTCTGTAGACTGACCTCGAAGTGGTGGTGCAGGGACTTCCTCATCAGAACTGACTTCTGCAGCAACTGTTTCTGCAAGGGTTTCTCCATTAGAAGAAAGCTGTGCAGCACTGGTGCTTTCAAGTGCTGCATGAGTGTCGGGACAATTTGTGTCTTTGGTAACTGGTTCCATAAACTGATGCTGCTCACTCGCTACTGGCTTACCCATCACAAAAACGCTAAAGCCAGTCTCGGAGGGGAGGGAACTGTTTGCAGTGTTCAAATCCCTTTTGGGTTTCCCTGCTCGAGGAGGCTTTACAATGGCTGCTGCTCGTAAAGGTCGATCAGAAACAACAACAGACTCAGACTGTGATACAGCAGACTCGTAAGCTGGTGGCTGGTCCATATCAATATTCACGATCTTGGTTAGGGCCTTCCCAGAGGAAGCTTTCTTAGTTTTACCATCATCATCACTCTCGTAGAAGCTATCTTTCCGTCTCATGTCTTGCTTGGTGTCACCAGATGAATCCGACTGGATAAAAGAGTGTTCTAGAGAAAAAGCAGATTGGTCGGAATCCAGGGACTTGTAGTCTAAGGAGACAGCAGCTTCTTCTGAAGGTATCTCCACTTTAAGTTTGTCAAAAATTATGGAGGAATCAGAAACATCTGAGAGAGGTTCTTCTAAATGCCCAGTTTCAAATTCATGTGCTGTCAATGCTTCGTTGTGTAAGGCAAATGCAGAGGTTTCCTTGTCGGCGGCTGCTGGAGTAAAGGGTGGAAGCACAGATTCTTCCAAACGAGACTGCTGCAGGAAGGTCGACATGGTCGTGCCACTGTCATGGAACAAGGGCAACTGAAAAGGGTTGAAGATTTGGGGGTGGGGGTGGAATTGTGCAGATATGATCAAGCAGACAAAAACATGTCATTTGAAAACATCAACCTTGACCAACAACCATTACCCATTTAACAACCTTAGTGAAAATATCTGCAAATAATTTAGTAAACTAATTAATAAAAAGAATTGTAAATAATAATTAAAAAAATAAATTATATTTTCCGCATAATTAAAATAAATCCAACCCCAAAAAGAAAAATGTAGATAATCCTATTTTGATAATGGAAGTGATGAAATTGTCTGTGTGAATGTTGCAGGTTTTTGGTCTGATTATATGTTTTTCAGTTGTAATATCATGTTTTCCAAAGGTGTGGTTTGACTAGACCATCTGTGATAAATGTTTCATGGTTATGAATGTTTCAGAATTTGACTAACTGTTCAAGGTTAGATTAAAAGGAAGGTATCTGTGATGTATCATGGTTTGACTAAAGGAAAGATGTGATGAATGCTTCAGGGTTTGGCCACAGGGAAGCTATCTGTGATGAATGTTTCCGGGTTTGACTAAAGGGCAGATATCTGTAATAAATGTTTCCGGGTTTGACAAAAGGGAAGCTATTTGTGATGAATGTTTTAGGGTTTGACTAAAAGGAAGCTATCTGTGATGAATGTTTCAGGGTTTGACAAAAGGGAAGCTATCTGTGATGAATGTTTCCGGGTTTGACTAAAGGGCAGATATCTGTAATAAATGTTTCCGGGTTTGACTAAAGGGAAGCTATTTGTAATGAATGTTTCAGGGTTTGACTAAAAGGGAAGCTATTGTAATGAATGTTTCAGGGTTTGACTAAAAGGAAGCTATCTGTGATGAATGTTTCAGGGTTTGACTAAAAGGGAAGCTACTGTGATGAATGTTTCAGGGTTTGACAAAAGAGAAGCTATCTGTGATGAATGTTTCAGGGTTTGACTAAAACAGTTGTTCCACAAGGAAGCTATCTATGAGCATGAAGATGAACTAGAAGCAAAATTTCTGTAGACAAGTAGCAGACGCTAACATATGTCCTCTGCTACTGACAAAATAACTTCATGAGGGAAAGAACATGTCAAAGATTAAAAGAAAAGACAAGGCATTCAAACATGCACATTGTTTTATGAAAGGAAAATATATCTGAATATATGGCAGGATGAAACAAGAGGACCATTGGGTGACAACAGATAACGGTTCAGCAGACGCAAACATTATTCAACAGAAAAACATGCCTGCCAGGTTTTACTTCAGCGCAAAAGGAGGAAACCAAAATGAACACAAGCATCAAAAAAGCATGTCACATACATAAGACAATATGAAAGCATTAGATGTCACATACAGAAGACAATATGAAAGCATTAGATGTCACATATAGAAGACAATATGAAAGCATTAGATGTCACATACAGAGGACAAAATGAAAGCATTAAATGTCACACACAGATGAGAATACGAAAGCACTAGACCACACAAACAGAAGACAATATGAAAGCATTAGATGTCACATACAGAAGACAATATGAAAGCACTAGACGTCACATACAGGAGACAATATGAAAGCACTAGACGTCACATCCAGATGAGAATATGAAAGCATTAGATGTCGCCTATAGAAGACAATATGAAAGCATTAGACATCACAAACAGAAGAGAATATGAAAGATCTAGACGTCACATACAGAAGACAATATGAAAGTGTTGGACATCACATACAGAAGACAATATGAAAGCATTAGATGTCACACACAGAAGACAATATGAAAGTTTTGGACATCACATACAGAAGACAATTTGAAAGCATTAGATGTCACACACAGAAGACAATATGAAAGCATTAGATGTCACATACAGAAGACAATATGAAAGCATTAGATGTTACATACAGAAGACAATATGAAAGCATTAGATGTCACATACAGAAGACAATATGAAAGCATTAGAGATCACATACAGAAGACAATATGAAAGCATTAATGTCACATACAGAAGACAATATGAAAGCATTAATGTCAATAACAGGAGACAATATGAAAGTGTTGGACATCACATACAGAAGACAATATGAAAGTTTTGGACATCACATACAGAAGACAGTATGAAAGCATTAGATGTCACATACAGAAGACAATATGAAAGCATTAGATGTCTCATACAGAAGACAATATGAAAGCATTAGATGTCACATACAGAAGACAATATGAAAGCATTAGACGTCACACACAGAAGACAATATGAAAGTGTTGGACATCACATACAGAAGACAATATGAAAGTGTTGGACATCACATACAGAAGACAATATGAAAGTGTTGGACATCACACACAGAAGACAATATGAAAGTTTTGGACATCACATACAGAAGACAATATGAAAGTGTTGGACATCACACACAGAAGACAATATGAAAGTTTTGGACATCACATACAGAAGACAATATGAAAGTGTTGGACATCACTTACAGAAGACAATATGAAAGTGTTGGACATCACATACAGAAGACAATATGAAAGTGTTGGACATCACTTACAGAAGACAATATGAAAGTGTTGGACATCACATACAGAAGACTATATGAAAGAGTTAGAGGTCACATACAGAAGACAATATGAAAGTGTTGGACATCACATACAGAAGACAATATGAAAGTGTTGGACATCACATACAGAAGACAATATGAAAGTGTTGGACATCACATACAGAAGACAATATGAAAGTTTTGGACATCACAAACAGGAGACAATATGAAAGTGTTGGACATCACATACAGAAGACAATATGAAAGTGTTGGACATCACATACAGAAGACAATATGAAAGTGTTGGACATCACACACAGAAGACAATATGAAAGTTTTGGACATCACATACAGAAGACAATATGAAAGTGTTGGACATCACACACAGAAGACAATATGAAAGTTTTGGACATCACATACAGAAGACAATATGAAAGTGTTGGACATCACTTACAGAAGACAATATGAAAGTGTTGGACATCACATACAGAAGACAATATGAAAGTGTTGGACATCACATACAGAAGACTATATGAAAGAGTTAGAGGTCACATACAGAAGACAATATGAAAGTGTTGGACATCACATACAGAAGACAATATGAAAGTGTTGGACATCACATACAGGAGACAATATGAAAGCACTAGACGTCACATCCAGATGAGAATATGAAAGCATTAGATGTCACCTATAGAAGACAATATGAAAGCATTAGACATCACAAACAGAAGAGAATATGAAAGCATTAGATGTCACCTATAGAAGAGAATATGAAAGCATTAGATGTCACCTATAGAAGACAATATGAAAGCATTAGACATCACAAAGAGAAGAGAATATGAAAGATCTAGACGTCATATACAGAAGACAATATGAAAGCATTAGATGTCACCTATAGAAGACAATATGAAAGCATTAGACATCACAAACATAAGAGAATATGAAAGATCTAGACGTCACATACAGAAGACAATATGAAAGTGTTGGACATCACATACAGAAGACAATATGAAAGCATTAGATGTCACATACAGAAGACAATATGAAAGCATTAGATGTCACATACAGAAGACAATATGAAAGCATTAGATGTCACATACAGAAGACAATATGAAAGCATTAGATGTCACATACAGAAGACAATATGAAAGTGTTGGACATCACATACAGAAGACAATATGAAAGTGTTGGACATCACATACAGAAGACAATATGAAAGTTTTGGACATCACATACAGAAGACAGTATGAAAGCATTAGATGTCACATACAGAAGACAATATGAAAGCATTAGATGTCACATACAGAAGACAATATGAAAGCATTAGATGTCACATACAGAAGACAATATGAAAGCATTAGACGTCACACACAGAAGACAATATGAAAGTGTTGGACATCACATACAGAAGACAATATGAAAGTGTTGGACATCACATACAGAAGACAATATGAAAGTGTTGGACATCACACACAGAAGACAATATGAAAGTGTTGGACATCACATACAGAAGACAATATGAAAGTTTTGGACATCACATACAGAAGACAATATGAAAGTGTTGGACATCACACACAGAAGACAATATGAAAGTTTTGGACATCACATACAGAAGACAATATGAAAGTGTTGGACATCACTTACAGAAGACAATATGAAAGTGTTGGACATCACATACAGAAGACAATATGAAAGTGTTGGACATCACATACAGAAGACAATATGAAAGTGTTGGACATCACATACAGAAGACTATATGAAAGAGTTAGAGGTCACATACAGAAGACAATATGAAAGTGTTGGACATCACATACAGAAGACAATATGAAAGTGTTGGACATCACATACAGAAGACAATATGAAAGTGTTGGACATCACATACAGAAGACAATATGAAAGTGTTGGACATCACATACAGAAGACAATATGAAAGTGTTGGACATCACACACAGAAGACAATATGAAAGTTTTGGACATCACATACAGAAGACAATATGAAAGTGTTGGACATCACATACAGAAGACTATATGAAAGAGTTAGAGGTCACATACAGAAGACAATATGAAAGTGTTGGACATCACATACAGAAGACAATATGAAAGTTTTGGACATCACATACAGAAGACAATATGAAAGCATTAGATGTCACATACAGAAGACAATATGAAAGCATTAGATGTCACATACAGAAAACAATATGAAAGCATTAGATGTCACATACAGAAGACAATATGAAAGCATTAGAGGTCACATACAGAAGACAATATGAAAGTGTTGGACATCACATACAGAAGACAATATGAAAGCATTAGATGTCACATACAGAAGACAATATGAAAGCATTAGATGTCACATACAGAAAACAATATGAAAGCATTAGAGGTCACATACAGAAGACAATATGAAAGCATTAGACGTCACACACAGAAGACAATATGAAAGTGTTGGACATCACATACAGAAGACAATATGAAAGCATTAGACATCACACACAGAAGACAATATGAAAGTGTTGGACATCACACACAGAAGACAATATGAAAGTGTTGGACATCACACACAGAAGACAATATGAAAGTTTTGGACATCACATACAGAAGACAATATGAAAGTGTTGGACATCACATACAGAAGACAATATGAAAGTGTTGGACATCACATACAGAAGACAATATGAAAGTTTTGGACATCACATACAGAAGACAATATGAAAGTGTTGGACATCACATACAGAAGACAATATGAAAGTTTTGGACATCACATACAGAAGACAATATGAAAGTGTTGGACATCACATACAGAAGACAATATGAAAGTTTTGGACATCACATACAGAAGACAATATGAAAGTTTTGGACATCACATACAGAAGACAATATGAAAGTGTTGGACATCACATACAGAAGAGAAAATGAAAGCCTTGGATGTTACATACAAAAGGAAACTGAGGGTGTTGGGGAAAACACAGGAAGCTTAGTTGGCGTACGTGCAGCATTTAAAACTGACAAGAATTTAATGAGGACAAAAAATAAGCTGGCTGCAACATGCACACAGACAGAAACTGTTTACATGATATTTAAAAAAATCTTTGTTGTTGCAAAAAAAAAAAAAAAAAACCTATAATAAATTAACTGTCAGCTGTGAGAAACCAATAATTTGTTGGGGGTCTTTTTTCATATATTAGGGTAATATAGACCATTTTTAGTGGCATGCACTAGGACCCTATAATACACAGGATGATATTAAATAAAACTGTCATATTTGTAAAAATGTCTGCCTAAAATGTTATCAGTTTCTGTCCAAACTACTTGATCAGGGCCGGCTGTAGTCTAAGCAAATTTGATAGAGAAGGTGAATCTCCTTCACAGTGTGTGTTTTATAGAGCAGAAGTGGATCTAACAGAGCAAAAGTGGATCTTACACAACTGAGTTGCACCTTACTGAATATAAATGGATCAGTAGAGATTAATGAATAATAGGATGACAGTGCAGTGCTGTGTTCGGGAAAATCAGACCTTCCCTTGAAAAAGACAAGACTGGACCTAAAAGTAGATTCAGCAAAACAAGAATGGACCTGAAAATAGATCCAGCAAAACAGGACTGGACCTGAAAATAGATCCAGCAAAACAGGACCTAGATCTAAAAAAAAAATATGTATTTTGGTAAAATCTGAACTGCACTTGGAAATTTAAAAAAAAATTCTGCATTAAGCAAAGTGGTTGTGAAACAAACTATCTAACTTAGTAGAACCATAATGAAATGAGCCAGACCAACCACGAAGCATGAATGATAAACTTTAGTGACATAACTATATGACAAGAAGTCGAGCATTACCTGTGACTCCATTCTGAATGTGTCTTTCAAGGGCAATGGTTTAGCCACGCCTATTTTCACGATGCCCCGAGCTGCCCCCTTTAGTGCTTGGACAGCCTCATCCAATGTGGCATGTTCAACATTGACATTGTTGACAAAAATCAGCCTATCTCCAGGAACCAGCCGTCCATCCATCTGCGCCACACCGCCTGGGACCAGGCTTCTGATGACGATCACTGTATCATTGGGGTTAACTGGGTCCTGGCATCAAGAGAGCAGACAAATATTGTTAAACTGGGTCCTGGCATTAAGAGAGCAGACAAATATTGTTAAACTGGGTCCTGGCATCAAGAGAGCAGACAAATATTGTTTACCTGGGTCCTGGCATCAAGAGAGCAGACAAATATTGTTAACCTGGGTCTTGGCATCAAGAGAGCAAGACAAATATTGTTAAACTGGGTCATGGCATCAAGAGAGCAGACAAATATTGTTAAACTGTTAAATTTAAGGCATTAGTTAGACCAGGTGCTAGCAGACAATCAGTCCTCGAGGCATTAGTTAGACCAGATGCTAGCAGACAATCAGTCCTTGAGGCATTAGTTAGACCAGGTGCTAGCAGACAATCAGTCCTTGAGGCATTAGTTAGACCAGATGCTAGCAGACAATCAGTCCTCGAGGCATTAGTTAGACCAGGTGCTAGCAGACAATCAGTCCTTGAGGCATTAGTTAGACCAGGTGCTAGCAGACAATCAGTCCTTGAGGCATTAATTAGACCAGGTGCTAGCAGACAATCAGTCCTTGAGGCATTAATTAGACCAGTGCTAGCAGACAATCAGTCCTTGAGGCATTAATTAGACCAGATGCTAGCAGACAATCAGTCCTCGAGGCATTAGTTAGACCAGGTGCTAGCAGACAATCAGTCCTTGAGGCATTAATTAGACCAGGTGCTAGCAGACAATCAGTCCTTGTGGCATTAATTAGACCAGGTGCTAGCAGACAATCAGTCCTCGAGGCATTAGTTAGACCAGGTGCTAGCAGATAATCAGTCCTTAAGGCATTAGTTAGACCAGGTGCTAGCAGACAATCAGTCCTTGAGGCATTAGTTAGACCAGATGCCAGCACAAAATGTCAGTCCCAGAGGAAGCGTCTAGACCAGCTGAAACCACAACATTCTAGTCCTTGAGGGCATCTAGATCAGCTGCAAGCATGGCATTTAGTCCCTCAGGGACCAGGTGTAGGACCAAAGTGCAAGAAAACCTTCTACATATCTGGTATACTATATGCTGGCTTTTTGTCTTTTTTCTCAAGTTTTCACACATTACATTTAAACATAAACTTCTCCACATATCTCAACGACTACATGTCTCTTACACAACTTCTTCCACACATCTCAATGACTACATGTCCCTTACATAAGTTCTTTCACACATCTCAGTGACTACAAATCTATCACATAAAACTTCCCACACCACAGCTGCCACACACCTGATAATCAAGTATACTGAAGCCCAGCCCTCTGTCTGCCTTCTCCAGTTCTATGACCACGGGCTGGGGGCTCCACATGGCCAGCCCTGTCAGGGGCTCCAGTGACCTGGACTTGGACTTGTTGAGGTTTGCTGCTGGGGGTTCGGACACTGACAGCGACATCTCCGACTTGGCTTTTACTAATCTTTCGGTCAGGAATGGTTCAGGCTCCACCTTGGGGCTAGTCAATCCAATAACAACAATCAAATCGATCATTACAAAGAATTGACAAGAAAAAATGGCCAGGACAAACAAGCATATAGAATGAGAAGGAAAGCAGTAACCGAGCTAACGGTCAGTGCAAACAAAAAAGTGTCCAACCAAAAGATCTCCTTCTGACAGTAGATGTTATGAAATGCTGGTCATTACGATTGCCTACAGCCTTCTGTCTTCTGTACTGTAAATCACTGATGATACATACATTTGTTTGGTGCCATGATGAAACACTGTTAAACATCTCTTTTGGTCTTCCTCTGTCTCTCTTCCCCTCCAACTGTCTTGTCATGCTGCATTCTAGTCGTCCCCTCCCACTGACCTGTCATGTCACAGTCCAGTCTTCCCCTCCAACTGTCCTGTCCTGTCATAGCCCAGTCTTCCCCACCAACTGTCCTGTCCTGTCATAGCCCAGTCTTCCCCTCTAATTGTCCTTTCATAGTCCAGTCCTCCTCACCTGTCCTGTCCTAGTTCACCAGTATTCCCCTCTAACTGTCCTGTCATAGTCCAGTCCTCCCAAACTGTCCTGTCCTGTTATAGTTCAGTCTTCCCCTCCAACTGTACTGTCATGTCATAGTCCAGTTTTCCCCTCCAATATCCTGTCATGTCATAGTTCAGTCTTTCACTCTGACTGTTCTGTCATGTGTCTTTGTGAACTAATGCATTTCTTTGTGAACTAATGTCTGTCTTTGTGAACTAATGTCTACCTTTAAATGCATGCTAAAGAGACAGAAACACATGGACAGACAAAACATAAAAGAAAGGGACTACTTACAGCCACTACTTTCCAAAGAGTAGATATCTCTAACAGTCAACACAAGACAGGTTAGGTCCAACAAAACACAAATAGCTATATGCAGCAAAGTGTTAGTATCTGCAAGGTACACAGCCACTGAATTGTTGCAAAGTGTGGATGGGGTTTTGCATCAGCCATAATTGGCAATACACATGGCAGAAGGTCATAGACAGACAGACATGATGGCAGAAGGTCACAGACAGACAGACATGATGGCAGAAGGTCATAGACAGACAGACATGATGGCAGAAGGTCATAGACAGACAGACATGATGGCAGAAGGTCATAGACAGACAGACAGACATGATGGCAGAAGGTCATAGACAGACAGACATGATGGCAGAAGGTCATAGACAGACAGACAGACATGATGGCAGAAGGTCATAGACAGACAGACAGACATGATAGCAGAAGGTCATAGACAGACAGACATGATATATGCCACTGGATGTTAAGAAGAAAGCAACAATTGACCAGTGGATACAAGGAGAAGCTCAGCACTGCACTGGAACCCTCATGGACAACAAATATGTGCTTACAGATCAGGCATAGCCATGTGCATCTGCATCTCTGCTTGAGTGGACTTCCTTCGGGCACACACCAGCCGGACATGCTGGGGCAGGTCCTTGAGAATCTCTACAACACTAACATGATTGAGGCCCAGCAGTCTCCTTCCATTCACCTATAGACAGTTGCAGGTCAAAGGTCAGGGCTGGCACAGTGTCAATCATAACAGGTCACAGGTCAAGGCTGTGGCAGTAACAACCCTAACATGAGATAACATGTACACATATTTTCTATTTAAGTGATGATAGTGGCCTAGGGCTTGAACCCTGACCACTGTTTTAACGATACTGAAGCCAACATTAGGGCATCTAAATTAATCAAAAGTAAAAGAACCACTGTGTATTGTAGGTATCCATGAGACCATAAACAAACAAGTCATTAGCATGTCACAGTTAACCTTCCTGCCTGATGTAAGTACGCAGCACATTTCCATACAATTAGAGTATTCTGGCCAAGAATATACAATATCCCCAAGCAACACAGTACTTAGTGTCACTTACTGGAATACACAGAAAATCGACAACATCTGCAGCAATCACTCATCACACAAAAACCACATGTCTACTCCAATGTCAAACCTAAACAGAAAGCTGAACACACAAAGATAGAGGAGACAGGACAAGCACACAAGGGAACAATGCCAAATCTAAGCTAAACACACAAAGACAGAGGAGACTGGACACCCACACAAGGGAACAATGCTATATCTAAGCTAAACACACAAAGATAGAGGAGACTGGACACCCACACAAGGGAACAATGTCATATCTAAGCTAAACACACAAAGATAGAGGAGACAGGACAAGCACACAAGGGAACAATGTAATATCTAAGCTAAACACACAAAGACAGAGGAGACTGGACACCCACACAAGGGAACAATGCCATATCTAAGCTAAACACACAAAGATAGAGGAGACCCCCTCCAGCACACAGTTGCAACAAGACAACACAACAGAAAAAGATCACCACAAGACAACACAACAGAAACAGATCACCTCCTCCAGCACACAGCTGCAACAAAACAACACAACAGAAGATCACCTGTAGCACACAGCTGCAACAAGACAACACAATAGAAAAAGATCACCTCCTACAGCACACAGCTGCAACAAGACACCACAACAGAAGGTCATATCCAGCACACAGCTGCAACAAGACATCACAACAGAAAAAGATCACCTCCAGCACACAGCTGCAACAAGACAACATAAAAGAAAAAGATCACCTCCTCCAGCACACAGCTGCAACAAGACAACACAACAGAAGATCACCTCCAGCACACAGCTGCAACAAGACACCACTACAGAAGGTCACATCCAGCACACAGCTGCAACAAGACATCACAACAGAAAAAGATCACCTCCAGCACACAGCTGCAACAAGACATCACAACAGAAAAAGATCACCTCCAGCACACAGCTGCAACAAGACAACATAAAAGAAAAAGATCACCTCCTCCAGCACACAGCTGCAACAAGACAACACAACAGAAGATCACCTCAAGCACACAGCTGCAACAAGACAACACAACAGAAGATCACCTCCAGCACACAGCTGCAACAAGACAACACAACAGAAGATCACCTCCAGCACACAGCTGCAACAAGACATCACAACAGAAAAAGATCACCTCCAGCACACAGCTGCAACAAGACATCACAACAGAAAAAGATCACCTCCAGCACACAGCTGCAACAAGACAACAAAAAAGAAAAAGATCACCTCCTCCAGCACATAGTTGCAACAAGACAACACAACAGAAACAGATCACCTCCTCCAGCACACAGCTGCAACAAGACAACACAACAGAATATCACCTCCAGCACACAGCTGCAACAAGACAACACAACAGAATATCACCTCCAGCACACAGCTGCAACAAGACAACACAACAGAATATCACCTCTAGCACACAGCTGCAACAAGACAATACAACAGAAGATCACCTCTAGCACACAGCTGCAACAAGACAACACAACAGAAACAGATCACCTCCTCCAGGCTACAGCTGCAACAAGACAACACAACAGAAACAGATCACCTCCTCCTGGCTACAGCTGCAACAAGACAACACAACAGAAACAGATCACCTCCTCCAGGCTACAGCTGCAACAAGACAACACAACAGAAGCAGATCACCTCCTCTAGCACACAGCTGCAACAAGACAACACAACAGAAGCAGATCACCTCCTCCAGCACACAGCTGCAACAAGACAACACAACAGAAACAGATCACCTCCTTCAGGCTACAGCTGCAACAAGACAACACAACAAAAACAGATCACCTCCTCCAGGCTACAGCTGCAACAAGCAACAAGACAGACACAGGCTACAGCTGCAACAAGACAACAAACAGAAACAGATCACCTCCTCCAGGCTACAGCTGCAACAAGACAACACAACAGAAACAGACCACCTCCTCCAGGCTACAGCTGCAACAAGACAACACAACAGAAACAGATCACCTCCTCCAGGCTACAGCTGCAACAAGACAACACAACAGAAACAGATCACCTCCTCCAGGCTACAGCTGCAACAAGACAACACAACAGAAACAGATCACCTCCTCCAGGCTACAGCTGCAACAAGACAACACAACAGAAACAGATCACCTCCTCCAGGCTACAGCTGCAACAAGACAACACAACAGAAACAGATCACCTCCTCCAGGCTACAGCTGCAACAAGACAACACAACAGAAACAGATCAACTCCTCCAGGCTACAGCTGCAACAAGACAACACAACAGAAACAGATCACCTCCTCCAGGCTACAGCTGCAACAAGACAACACAACAGAAACAGACCACCTCCTCCAGGCTACAGCTGCAACAAGACAACACAACAGAAACAGATCACCTCCTCCAGGCTACAGCTGCAACAAGACAACACAACAGAAACAGATCACCTCCTCCAGGCTACAGCTGCAACAAGACAACACAACAGAAACAGATCACCTCCTCCAGGCTACAGCTGCAACAAGACAACACAACAGAAACAGACCACCTCCTCCAGGCTACAGCTGCAACAAGACAACACAACAAAAACACACAACAGCTGCAACAGACAAACAGAGATCACCTCCTCCAGGCTACAGCTGCAACAAGACAACACAACAGAAACAGATCACCTCCTCCAGGCTACAGCTGCAACAAGACAACACAACAGAAACAGATCACCTCCTCCAGGCTACAGCTGCAACAAGACAAAACAATCACCTCCTCCAGGCTACAAACAGATCACAGAAACAGATCCTCCTCCAGGCTACAGCTGCAACAAGACAACACAACAGAAACAGATCACCTCCTCCAGGCTACAGCTGCAACAAGACAACACAACAGAAACAGATCACCTCCTCCAGGCTACAGCTGCAACAAGACAACACAACAGAAACAGACCACCTCCTCCAGGCTACAGCTGCAACAAGACAACACAACAGAAACAAATCACCTCCAGCAGCTCATCACTACTCTTGAGCCTGCCGTTGAGCCCCACGGGACCATCAGGTAGGATGGAGCGGATGTAATGATGAGGTCTAACTTCTACACCATCTTCTACATCCACTGTGCCCTCCAGGCTGATGCCAAGGCCACCGCCTTCCTTGAACTTGGACAACTGTGCCACCTGGTGAAGAGTATACAAGAGAGCTGGAGTGGCTGTGTGTGTTTGCGTGTGTACATGCATACTACACACATGTGTGTGTGTGTTGTTTTCAACAAGCAACATGGATTACAGGAAACAGACAGGGAAGTTGTAGCAGTCACATTAATAGTGATCACAGTAGCTGCAGCTGCAGTAAGAAGTTAATCATCAAGGTAGTGAATATAATGACTGTAGCAGAAATACTACAACATCAGTAGTGGTAGAAGTAGTAGGAGAAACAATAGTGGTAGTAGTAGTAGTAGTAGTAGGAGAAACAACAGTGGTAGAAGTAGTAGTAGCAGGAGGAGAAAAAATAGTGGCAGAAGTAGTAGGAGAAACAATAGTGGTTGTAGTAGTAGTACAGTCACAGTAGTGAATATAATGACTGTAGCAGAAATACTACATCAGTAGTGGTAGAAGTAGTAGGAGAAACAATAGCGGCAGTAGTAGGAGAAACAACAGTGGTAGAAGTATTAGGAGAAACAATAGTGGTAGTAGAAGTAGGAGAAACAATAGCGGTAGAAGTAGTAAGAGAAACAATAGTGGTAATAGTAGTAGGAGAAACAATAGTGGTAGAAGTAGTAAGAGAAACAATAGTGGTAATAGTAGTAGGAGAAACAATAGTGGTAGAAGTAGTAGGAGAAACAATAGTGGTAATAGTAGTAGGAGAAACAATAGTGGTAGAAGTAGTAAGAGAAACAATAGTGGTAGAAGTAGTAGGAGAAACAATAGTGGTAGAAGTAGTAGGAGAAACAAAGTGGTAGAAGTAGTAAGAGAAACAATAGTGGTAGAAGTAGTAGGAGAAACAATAGTGGTAGAAGTAGTAGGAGAAACAATAGTGGTAGAAGTAGTAAGAGAAACAATAGTGGTAGAAGTAGTAGGAGAAACAATAGTGGTAATAGTAGAAGGAGAAACAATAGTGGTAGAAGTAGTAGGAGAAACAATAGTGGTAGAAGTAGTAAGAGAAACAATAGTGGTAGAAGTAGTAAGAGAAACAATAGTGGTAATAGTAGTAGGAGAAACAAAAGTGGTAGTAGTAGGAGAAACAATAGTGGTAGTAGTAGGAGAAACAATAGTGGTAATAGTAAGAGAAACAATAGTGGTAGTAGTAGGAGAAACAATAGTGGTAGTAGTAGGAGAAACGATAGTGGTAGAAGTAGTAGGAGAAACAATAGTGGTAGTAGTAGTAGTACTATAGTAGTTTTCTCTCTGATCTCACTAACTGATGTCTGTAACCGACCGTACACACCTTTAAGTTTTCTCTCTCTGATCTCACTAACTGATGTCTGTAACTGACTGTACACACCTTTAAGTTTTCTCTCTCTGATCTCACTAACTGATGTCTGTAACCGACCGTACACACCTTTAAGTTTTCTCTCTCTGATCTCATTAACTGATGTCTGTAACTGACTGTACACACCTTTAAGTTTTCTCTCTCTGATCTCACTAACTGATGTCTGTAACTGACTGTACACACCTTTAAGTTTTCTCTCTCTGATCTCACTAACTGATGTCTGTAACTGACTGTACACACCTTCAAGTTCTCTCTCTGATCTCACTAACTGATGTCTGTAACTGACTGTACACACCTTCAAGTTCTCTCTCTGATCTCATTAACTGATGTCTGTAACTGACTGTACACACCTTCAAGTTCTCTCTCTGATCTCACTAACTGATGTCTGTAACTGACTGTACACACCTTTAAGTTTTCTCTCTCTGATCTCACTAGTTGATGTCTGTAACTGACTGTACACACCTTTAAGTTTTCTCTCTCTGATCTCACTAGTTGATGTCTGTAACTACAAGTCTAGTGGCCAAGGCACTTACCACAACCAAGAAATCGTTGCCCACTATTGGCTCCCAGGCTGCCTTGATTGCTGCTTCCACATCTGGCGATAGGGCTCCACCTAAAGGTGAGAGAAAAACAGTAGTATGGTTGTTGTAGCAGTGGTACTATAGTTGTTGTAGGAGTGGTACTATAGATGTTGTAGGAGTGGTACTATAGTTGTTGTAGCAGTGGTACTATAGTTGTTGTAGCAGTGGTACTATAGTTGTTGTAGCAGTGGTACTATAGTTGTTGTAGGAGTGGTACTATAGTTGTAGCAGTAGTACTATAGTTGTTGTAGCAGTGGTACTATAGTTGTTGTAGGAGTGGTACTATAGTTGTTGTAGTGGTGGTACTATAGTTGTTGTAGTGGTGGTACTATAGTTGTTGTAGTGGTGGTACTATAGTTTTTGTAGGAGTGGTACTATAGTTGTTGTAGCAGTAGTACTATAGTTGTTGTAGCAGTGGTACTATAGTTGTTGTAGGAGTGGTACTATAGTTGTTGTAGCAGTGGTACTATAGTTGTTGTAGGAGTGGTACTATAGATGTTGTAGCAGTGTTACTATAGTTGTTGTAGCAGTAGTACTATAGTTGTTGTAGCAGTAGTACTATAGCTGTTGTAGCAGTGTTACTATAGCTGTTGTAGCAGTGGTACTACAGCTGTTGTAGCAGTGGTACTATAGTTGTTGTAGCAGTGGTACTATAGTTGTTGTAGGAGTGGTACTATAGTTGTAGCAGTAGTACTATAGTTGTTGTAGCAGTGGTACTATAGTTGTTGTAGCAGTAGTACTATAGCTGTTGTAGCAGTGGTACTATAGTTGTTGCAGCAATGGTACTATAGTTGTTGTAGCAGCAGTACTATAGTTGTTGTAGTGCTGGTACTATAGTTGTTGTAGCAGTGGTACTATAGTTGTTGTAGCAGTGGTACTAAAGCTGTTATATTAGTGGTACTATAGTTGTTGTAGCGATGGTACTAAAAATGTTATAATAGGGTTACTCTAGTTGTTGTATTAGTAGTACTATAGTCTTTGTTGTATTAGTGGTACTATAGTTGTTGTAGTGGGGTACTATAGTTGTTGTTGTAGTAGTGATACTATAGTTGTTGTTGTATTAATGGTACTATAGTTGTTGTTGTAATGGTACCATAGTTGTAGTAGCAGTACTATATTTGTTGCAATGGTACTATAGTTGTAGTAGTGGTACTATAGTTTTTGCTATATATATATATCAAACATATTATACATACAGTAGACCACATGTATTATGCAGAACATAAGCTTAAAATAGAGCAGATCATAAGTCCGATATACGGCAAAACATTGCCATATAGATAGTCTCCAAGCCAGGTGTCAGAACTAGTCATACATTACAGCCCAGACTGCTGGCCCACGGGGCAGGCCCAGACAGCATGAAGCGTTTAGTGGTACATATCTGGCTGTGGTATCCTGAAGTTTTTGGCTGGATCCCTTGAAATGTTACACAGATAGTGTTACCAATTACAGGAGAGTTGCATGGCAACGGTCGGTTAGAGCGATATGTTATTGTGGATGCCAACTTTTCTAGGAAGACAAACGTGGGAAAGCGGTTTCTTTGTCTTCTTGCACTGACATTTCTTCTACATTCTGCTTTCTCATCTATCTCTCATCTTCTTCTTCCTCCCCTTTTCCTCATCCTTCTTTAATTCTTCTCATCCCACCATTCTATATTATAATGTAAATGGAGAGTAGTCAGTGGATTTTTGTGGGGTGGGGGGGGGGGGGGGGGGGGGGGGGGGGGGGGGGGAGATGATTTCAAAAACTGTTAACTGAGAGAGCTTAAAACATGATTTTACAGTTTTAATTTTTTTTAAATTTTTATTTATCTTTTAAAAACGTTTTTTTTAAAAAAAAAGATGTATTGCAGTAAACTTTACTTCGACCTCTTTACAACATACAAACAATTTTAGCATGCGATAAACAAATAATTTTTTTTATTAGTCCTAGTAATACACACGACCACTAATATAAGGACACAATTACATGTTGCGTGTTATAGAGTCGGCATAAACCGATATCTCTATATCTGCGCAGACAATGATTGTGAAATTAACCATATTAGACACGTGCGCTTTCTATTTTCTTTCTTGTCCATTGGGATTTGTTTGACAGCAACGCGTGGCCGGGTACAGCTAGTTCATTAATGTTTAGCTGACTTGTCTAGCTTTTCTTTACTCCCAGTAAACGATGAAAGTTAAATGGTGCTCACGTAACCATGCAGAGGGAGTTCAAACCTCCCTGCCTGTGTCAGAGATCAAGCACACAGTTGGCAGTCCGCTCCCAGAAGCTGCTTGTAATCTCCAAGTTCTGCAGCCAGTTTCAGGTTCTCGCGAGATCCCAAGCTGTGATACGATTTCCGTAAACAGAATCGCCAGAAGTGTGTGGGTCTTCGTATCTAATGTGTATCCAGTCTGTAGCAGGCAATGGCGATCATAACCCGATACTTCCGCCCGTCATCATCATCGATGAATCAACACCACCACCTTCAGACGTCAACGTGTAAACATTTCAAGAAAGCAAACGTCAACTTGAGGCGGTTGTCAATCTTTACAGTCTGTCCTCACATTTAGACTCCACGTGTCTTTACTGTCCTCCCGTCAGCTCTGCTGTGTCTTCTTCTTCTTCTTCGATCCGTTTGTCAGAAAACTTAGATCAGGAGGCCGCGAGCCTTTAAAAAAGCTATCGTGCAGTCCAAATTTTCTAATGTACCGCACAATTTTGTTTTCATTGTGGTTGAAAGAGGCCAGATTGCGTCTCTATTGTCAAGTGCAGTCTTCAACTGTCTCGGTACTTCTTTGTTTGTTCACCCCCATCTCACGGACTCCAAGATTTCTTGTGGAGAACGCGGAATATTCCAATACTATTGGAAAAGGGGGAAAAAAAGGGGGGGGGGGGGGTGTAGAGTTAGTGTTAGTCGATGTTTCTTTTACAGATACCTATACTATAGAACTTTCACGGCAGCTCCCCGAGAAATCTGAGTCTCCGAGTTGGAGTGAATTAAAAAAAAAATGAACATAATCTCTGCATCCTTAAATGCTGGACAAGATTAGGAAACATGTGTACACCATCCCGCACCAATTACGCCTGAGATGTGATGTGCTGAACAAGTGCAGATTCTTATATAACTTCTCAACAAAAAAAAAAAAAAAAAAAAGGTTAGTTTTTCCATTCTACATTTCTGCTGATTACCCGCCCCACCCCCTTTTCCAACAATTTCTCGGTGAATGTAGCGAAACGCTCCCCAAACAGAGTTCACCTCGCCCATCATCATAAAGCAGGTCCTTGGCAGAACGTCGCTCTCATCACGGTCTGCCTTAAAGGAACTCGGTCTCTCGCCAGTTCTCCCGCCTCATGTACTTTCATACTCAAGCACTAGATCACTTTTTATTCACAAGTTGTTAGACTGTTCAACTTGCTTAAGGTTACGAGATTGTCTTACTCTATTTTTTGCTTTCTGTGTTGTCTTCCATTTACGTTTTCATTCCGAACAAGAGAATTCCTGTGACATGTGTTGCAACACTCTCTAGGGGATTGTGTAGAATTCCTGTGACATGTGTTGCAACACTTTCTAGGGGATTGTGTAGAATTCCTGTGACATGTGTTGCAACACTCTCTAGGGGATTGTGTAGAATTCCTGTGACATGTGTTGCAACACTCTCTATGCGATTGTGTTAGGGCCAGTGCTCCATGTATTTGGAGCGTTAAAAGCGCTAGCGTGCTGAAACTATATAACACGCGATATCAACGCTATCGCGGAACTTCACTGTAACCTTGTGCAAAGGTACGAGGGTCAAGAACTATCGATCAGAAGTGACCTGGTGAGTATATAGGCGGGGCCTAACTCTGTTTGGGGAGACTGACTTAATGTTAACCCAATTTCACCCACCTGTTCTGAGGATTCTAATGAATGACCAGACAACGCCTACAACTGTCAATACCTTCGCGTCTTATTTCATTTCTTTCCTCGATTCGTTGAACATTCGAAGCAAATACCACGTGGTCATTACCGCCATTTTTTCCAACATTCCAGTACCTATTGTCCAACATTCGTACAACAGAAGAAACAAGCCATGGGCGACTGTTCAATCAGCGGCAGGTGAATAATTGCAGAAACATTGACAGGCCATTTTGTGTGCCCCCCCCCCCCCCCCCCCACACACACACACACAGTCACACTACCCCCACACAAGGGCGGCAAATATTTGGGAAGTTTGGGGGAGAGGCGGGGATACAGAGCTTCAGCTCGGACAGCAATCAATCAGAAGGGGAGAGAACACAAACACAACTGTGCAGGAACGTCAGAAGGGATATCAGATTGTCCACTGCGAGTGGACTCCGGTCAGACGTGGGGGAGGGGTTGGTTGTGGGAACTGGGCGATTGTGGTCACTTTCTCGCTCCAACGACAAAAACTTTGGGTCTGATTAAGTGCTAAATGAGTTGCTTTTATAGAAGGGTTTTTTTTTTTTTACTGAGTGGCTATTAGAAATAGAGAGAGAGAGAGAGAGAGAGAGGAGAGAGAGAGAGAGAGAGAGAGAGAGATAGGGGGTGGGGAAGTGCTAAATGAGTTGCTTTTATAGAAGGTTTTTTTTTTTTTTACTGAGTGGCTATTAGAAATAGAGAGAGAGAGAGAGAGAGAGAGAGAGAGAGAGAGAGAGAGAGAGAGAGAGAGATAGGGGGTGGGGGTGGTCGGGAAGGGGGAGAGACAGACAGAGAGAAAAACAGAGAAAGAGCGATTCACAGGAGAATGTCCGCAGTGAGAAACTACCAGAAAACCAGAAGAAGAAGAGAGATATATGATGTCCCAGTGATGGGATAAGTCTGCGTGTTTGCGCGCGCGTGTTTACGAACTCATGCTGAAGAGATAAACTGTACAACCTACTTACTCCCAATGAGATCCTTCGCTGACCGGATCTGCTTACGCACTGAGTATTTCACTCGAGACTGATCACTCTTCGGACACAAGCGGAGAGAGTCAGCGTCATCCGAGTGTGGCCGATCGTCCTTAGAGTACATGCCGCCCTTCCTGAGGAGAGGCTGCGGCTGCTG